TGTGTGTGTGTGTGTGTGTGTGTGGTGTGGTGTGTGTGTGTGTGTGTGTGTGTGTGTGTGTGTGTGTGTGTGTGTGTGTGTGTCGTCGTGTGTGTGTGTGTGTGTGTCGTGTGTGTGTGTGTGTGTGTGTGTGTGTGTGTGCCCGTGTGTGTTGTGGGGACTCATGTCGTGATGGAAAAGCCACGTGAGGTCGCACCTCTGTGTCACGGCGCAGCTTGTATGCAGCTGCAACGCGGTCTGCAAACACCTCAGGGTTCTCGGCAACAAACAGTACGAGAAGCCGCGGCCGCTGCTGTACAACAGGCTCACCATCACCGTCAGCGCCGGCGGCATTGCTGGTTGTGTTAGTCAGCTCAACTGTGTACAAGCCTGCATCCATATCATAACTCTGCACCAGGCAGGATGTCCACACAAGACTCTGCGAGTGGGCAAGAGGGTAGGCGTGTGTGTTTGTGTGAGCGAGTGTGTGAGCGAGTGAGAGAGAGAGTGTGTGTGTGTGTGTATGTGTGTGTATGTGAGGGTGTATGTGGAGTGAGCATCGTGCCATGATGGACTGTGAGGGACCGTGATGGAACAGTGCGCTTCGTACAACAAAGAACACGCAACACCCCGCATAAACATGCAACCAAAGCCGCCAGTACGGCGAACAAAAAAAAAAAAAAAAACAAACGCACAAAACATAGCACCATGACCAACCCCATCGCTCTGCTGATGTAAGGTCTTGGCGGGCACGCCGCGCTGTGAGGAGGAAACGTCAGCGTCGTTTGCTGTTGCGGTTTCTTCTTGTACATTGTCAGCGTTGTCTGTGTCAGCGCTGCTGCTGCTGCTATTGCTGGCGGGGGCGCTGGTGACGGCGGCTGCAGCGTCTTGTACGAGGTCCATCCACTCCTCGGGGTTGCGATCGTCAAAATCAACATCGTCAAACAGTTCCAGTGGAAGATTGAACGTTGGGGGAGCATCTGAACTGTCAGCTGAGTCCGCTGCAGGGTGCTGCTGCTGTTTGTGCTGCTGTGTGTGCTGCTGTTTGTGCTTGACTTGGTCTTCAGCCTTGACGTCTTCGTCCTCTGTGTTGGAGACGGTGATGGCGACATCGTGCGTGGCTTCCCCAGCAGACTGCTGCCCGCTCTCGGTGTCAGCACTGGAGTTCGTGAGCGAGGAAAACGGGCCGGTGGGCAGCAAGTGCTTGTTGGTGAGGGAGCGTTCTGCCAGCAGGGTCTCGATGTCTTTGGCGGCAAACGAGCGCTTGCGCCGCTCCACCTCAATCTTGCGCGGTACTTCCTCTGCCTGCACCACAAACGCCTTTTGAACCTTGGGCTCAAATGCCCGTCGCGGTACCTGCAACAAAACAAGGTGTGTGAAGTGGCGAGATTAGAAGCGGATCGTTTACTGTCGGTGGAAAGAGGGGTGGGTGGGCAGTGTGGTGCGTAACAATGTGTGTGCCTTTGTGTGCACGTGTGTGGTTGTGTGCGTCTGAGTCTATGTCTGTGTGTACGTGTGTCTGTCTATCTGTGTGTGTTTCTGTGTATACTGTGTGTTTGTGTGTCTGTGTGTATTGTGTGCATACGTGTGTTGTGTGCATACGTGTGTTGTGTGTACTATGTATGATACAAAACATACGCACGAACCGAAGTAGGGTTTGCGGCGGGTCGTCTCGGCTTTAGAGACACAGGGTTCTTTGGCTTGAATTGGGCCGCTGCAAGGAGAACGCGTGTGTGAGTGAGAGTGTGTGCATGTGAGAGTGTGCGGTTGTGAGTGTGTGTGTGAGCAAGAGACGAAGATGGCAGCAACAACATTCAGCAAGGACAACACGAGCGAAACAGAGGCCCTTGGAGTAGGACCAAGTCAACGACACATGGACTGCAATTCAACCCAAACCCCACAGACTGCATTACCTCCAACAGCCGCATTGGTTGTTTGCAAGCGAACGCGTGTGTTGGGCTTGGTGATGGCATGCTTAGCCGACGCACGCTGTTGGATAACAAAGCCAATAAAGGTGCGTGCGTGTGCGTGTGAGCGTGAGTGTGAGTGTGAGTGTGAGTGTGAGTGTGAGTGTGAGTGTGAGTGTGAGTGTGAGTGTGAGTGTGTGCGTGCGTGTGAGCGTGAGTGTGAGTGTGAGTGCGTGAGTGTGAGTGTGAGTGTGAGTGTGAGTGTGAGTGATAAACTCATGGACAAGGGCATCAGCGGTGGCTGAATGTGCATCCACATCCACATCCACACACACACACACACATCAACATGCACATCGGCATGCACACCGACAAGACAACATCCACACCAACGCACACACCACCTTGAACACACACACACACGCACAAACGCACACAGCAACATTCAAACCACCAACAAAACTTCATGCTGTTGCCTTACATGAGGTTGTTGTGTGAGGTCAGAGTACAACCCGCGTTGCTTCGATTGTGAAGCTGGGGTGAACGGCCGCAACGACGACATGTCGTTGCTGGTGTTCGATGGTGGTGGTGGTGGTTGCGCCTATCGCCCTACCCTGATTTCCGTCTTCAAAAAAGAAATAAACGGCAACCAAACAAGCCCCCAGCAAATAGTGTGTGTGTTGTGTGTCTGAGTGAGTGTGTGTGAGTGTGAGTGTGTTTGCGTGGATCCTGGTCGCTCGCCGTATGAATCTGTGCACCATCAACGACGATGGCGAGAGTGTGTTTGGTTGGTTGGTGTGTTGTGTGGTTTGCCTGCGGAGTGTATGGCTGCACCAACCAACGGCACTTGGCAACAAACGATTGGCGAAAATTGTGAAAGATGTACGAAAGAACGAAGGCGGCTGCCGCCCCAATTTTGAATTAGAGATCGACGATGATGGTGGTGGGTGGTGTTGGTGCTGATGGTGTTGGTGTGACGGATGCGGGTGTTGTCGTGGTTGGTGGCAGACGAGGGAGAGGCAGGAGCGAGGGGACAAAGAAGAAGATGAAGGAGAAGGAGAAGAGGAAGAAGGAGGTGAAGAAGGAGAAAAAAGTGATGGAGAAGAAGCAGATGGAGATGGAGATGGAGAAGAAGCAGATGAGGATACTGACTGTGACCAACACAGACACACACCAGACCAACACACAACTGATGACATCACTTGAAAGGAAGGACACAGCAGACACAGCAGACATGGCAGCAGCATGCAGCGTGTACAGCTTGTCCGATCTGATTCTCAAGGGGGTTGGGGAAGCGGAAGACGTGTTGCTGCGCGCTGCGCTGCAATTGAGACGACACCTTCACCAAGACCTGCGCAAGAAGCGACGGCGACAAGGATTCGTGTGCTTGAAACACATGCACTTCGATGAGGATGGTGATCGCACAGATGCTCACGATGACAGGGATAGCAACTTGCCAGAAGCAAGTGTACAAGGAGAGCCCTCACCAACAGCAGCTGATGCACAAGACAACGCGCCCACGCCACCAGCAGCATCAACTGCAGCACACACGGATGAGCCGCAGTTGTTCCAGGTGCTAGACCTTGCACTGCCACTGCAGCAGTATGACGTGGACATTGGAAGCATCTTGAAACAGTCCAGCAAGCCACTGCCGTGGAGAACGTGGATACGAGCAACGCACCCGGGTGCGTTTCGGGTGTGTCCCGCACACGTGGATGCAAGCGTACGACTAGAGGCGCTTGAGCTTGTCCTGCAGTGTTTGCGAGTCGAAGACAAGCACTTCTCCAAAACCACCGTGAGCAGCTGTGCAGAGGAGGTGGGGCTGCTCCTCCGTCACCTGCAGCAACAACAGACACACGGAGACAGTCTTGGGAGCAGTGACAGCGGCACTGACAAAGAGAATTCCTCGCACGAGTGTGAGCGCGGCGCGGATGAACCGCTCGTTGTGGCTGTTGGACCCACAACCCCTTCCATCCTGTTGCACCAGCGAACGGCGCAGCTGCTCCTGCAGGAGAACGAGGCCATGGTGAAAGCACCCAACACCACCACAGGCTCCCACCGCGTCTTCAAGGTGTGTGTGTGTGTGTGTGTGTGTGTGTGGTGGTGTAGTGTGTGTGTGTGTGTGTGTGTGTGTGTGTGTGTGTGTGT